AGAGAGAGAGAGAGAGTGAGTGAGAAGGAGCACGAGAGAGGGAGTGGGAGGGAGAGGGAAATGATCGAGCCAAGGTAGGGGGGAGTAATGGAGTGTACCTCTGGTGCGTGCGTGCGTGCGTGCGTGCGTGCGTGCATGCACGCGTGTTGCGTCAGTGAGAGAGCGAGAAAGAAAAAGAGCAAAGTAAAACGAGGACAGGGGAAGACGATGAAGACTTGCACTTTGATTGCCGCAAGCGCGCAGCGCGATGACGAGAAGCAAGTGAACCGATTAGCAAATAAATTGCGTAGGATTTTGTGGAGAATTTTTATCAAAAGTGTATGTCGCGCCGTAGAGTCGCAAGTGTAGTAAGGCCAAAGGTCACCGTGCGCGTGTCGTTCCTCCTTTTCTCATTCCCCCTTCCAAATTTTGATTCCCTTTTTACAACATGCAGTTTCACTCAAAGTCACGCGTATATTTACTTATTGTTTTATTATTATTATATCTTTTATTATTAATGTCATTAATTTAATTTCCCTAAACATTATAAAACAAACATCGTATGTGAATATACTGTTTACAATTTCAAAAATATCAGCTGTATGATAGAATTTTAGTTTCCAATTTTAATTCTTATAAAATGATGCTAAAATGTTGTAAGCCATACTTCGAAAATAATCTCATTCTACAAATCAACTTATATTGAATTAAAGTTTTTAATTACAAATTATTCATAAGGTTTTAGCGAATATTTTTATCATATTTATATTGATTATATTTAAAGCCTTGGAGAAACTTATAGAACTTATCACTTTAAAAGTAACTAATATATAAAATATTATTTACATAAAATTCATAGAAAAGTAATTATAATGCCGAATAATTTTTACACGTTATCCATGTATTAAAAATCTGCAGAATTGAAATGTATAATTTCTATGATGCAAAGTATCTAAAAGATATTTCATTATTTATGTTATTTTAATCAAAATAAGTTATAATTATGGCTATTTTTGCGAAAAGGTTTATTTACAAGTTTTGTTAAAAACACACACACACGCGCGCACAGAGAGAGAGAGAGAGAGAGAGAGAGAGAGTGAGACAAAAACCAAAAAACCAAAACAAAAAAAAAAAACAGAAAAGAAAAACAGACAAAATATAGTCGAATTTATAGTATACGGATAATGCAAGAATTATTAAAAAGCAATAGGTGTTGCAGGTGTTTATTTGTTAAAATACATGAGAAGGGTGGATATAGTGGATAAGCAGTGTCAGTACTGGGTTTGTTATTCGCGTTACGCGTTACGCGTTACAATAGCATGACATCGACAGCAGTGGTGTGAGATGTAGGGTGCGGATGAATCGTCGTCGAAGTAATTAGACACTGCGAGTTCGAGGTTATTCCTGGAGACGGCAAAACATATAGTCCCTAATTATTCCGGCAACCCCTACGTATAAAAAGCCCAGTATCAGATTATTTTTATTCGCCGTAGTAAAATTACACATAATACGCGTTGTTGTGCTTCTGTTTTTCAGTTTTTTCTGCGTTTAACTTTATATGACAACACGTGCAAGAAAGAAGCAAAGTAAATATATAATTTATTAAATATAGTTTTATATTACGTATATAAGTAGATAAATGAAAATATATTATTATACTTAATATGTTTAATCTATGAATTATTGTCATCTATCGTGCATTAGTATAAAAATTACGAACAATTGTTAGCACAGTGATTTGTTATTATGATATTAATGTTACGGTTTTATTGAATAAGTGACATAAAAAGTAATGCAGAATTTAATCCAAAATTTATAATATTCTACGCGAATGAGCATTTAGTAAGCATAATTAATGTAACTGTATTGAAATTTGTTTATCTTTGAAATTATAATAATAACTCTAAGCGATTATTTTAAATAGACTTGTCGCGATTAAAAGTATATTTATTACACTGTTTTGTCTTAATGAACAATATTGTAATACTAATTAACCGTCAGATTTATCAAAGTAGTCAGTGACGTTATGTTTTAAATACAATATCTTACGGCCTATTAGGAAAATTTGATTGTTTTTGTTATCTATACAAATTATTAAGCATTCTTAAATTTAATGAATGTTCACTCTGTGATATCTGCGCATATTAGACAATGTAGTGAGTTCTCATTTGCAGGTTAATAATTGAATTTAAAAACTTGGTAATCTTTATAGATTTCAAAGTTTGTAATTATTTCCAATCAATGCATTCCAACTATATAGTCACTCGATTTATTTATGTAAAATCGGTATTTCAAAATAGCAGTCAAATATAAGCTACTGGCAAAAAGAAATTTGTCATATGCCATATTAGTCGCTTTGTAACGCGAGCGTCAGCTTGTATGTGCGTACTTGTCTTTTCCTCGACTGGAAGAATTCCGTCATCGGTGCTATACGATATCGATAACGCGAGCGCGCCAAAGTATAAAGATAAGTCGTCATCGTTTATACGTTCAATGCCAAGAAATAGGTGCGGTTATCGCATCACTTGACTGGATAATCGATCGGATGATGCGCGCTTTCAGCCTTCTTTCTCTTGCGATCGAGGGTAGTCACTATAACCACTATCCAAATTAAATAGGATGCAAAAAATGTTTTTAAACAACAAAATTAATGAGCGATATTACAGTATTTGATGAGCTTTTCTTGAGAATTGCACGACAGTCAATCGGCTGTGCAGGGTATGGTCGATATATCGCGGCCAATAATCGTTAGTCGTTTTCACTATCGGGTCGCGTCAAACAGTTTCCACATAAAATGCATTCGATTTCATGTATGTGCACAAACAAGTGCGTATGAATTCGTGTTTCGTCAAAGCAGACACGAGAAAGCGTGTGTTGAGCATAAAGAGCCTCGTAAATCGAAAATACTTTAAATTTTAAGCCATTCGATTATTAACTTTAAATTTCAATTAATTTTTAAATAGATTTTAGATTTATTTATTAATTGTATGACACAATTCTTAAGTAGATTTTCGTGAAGCTTATAACATTTATGTTGTTAAAAATTTCAATATTCTTTCTCTCCGTGTAAGCGGTAATTGCAATGTGTTAAAAAAAAATATATATATATATATATATATATATATATATATATTAAAAAGACGAATAATTAAAGCATATTTACTTTATATAAAAGTATTATAAATTACGATAAAAGTTTAATCATCTGAAGCAATTTTTAAATATATAAATACAATTCAAATTATGTTTATATTTCATGCTTTTAGTATATGCTGCATTTAATGAAACAACAATTATAATTACGTCAACGACAATTAATTTGTTGAATCACCGTTGACCGTTAACATTTTTAATAGCAATTAGAAAGTTTACTTTTAATATATTAAGGTGATGCAAAGCGATTTGGACATTTGTATTTTAGTAAAGCAAAGTGAATATTTTATTTTGCGGTTTTAAATAGATTAGAACATTGATCAAATTTGTTGAAGACAATGAAATAATATTATATTTGTATAATTTTAGTAAGTAAATTTTAATGAAGTGTTACAGCTTTATAGACTTTTACAATTATTTTATAAAAGTTTTTCAATGATACATTAAGCACTATATTACAATTATGAAATTATAAAATGATTTTAAATTTAAGGCTCATTAAATAAGTATATACCTTGAATGTGTGAATACTTTTGAAACTTCGTTGATTTAACAATAACAACATAAAACAGAATAATAGTAATAGGAGTAATAATTCTTTTCTTGAAATAAAGAATATAGGAAAATGTGAAGTCTGAAAAGATTTGATAAAATTTAAATTATGTTAAGAAAAGGTTTAAGACAACGAGGAGGCATAATGCGTGCAATGAGTATTAAGATTATTTTCAGCTATATTATTCCCTTAATTATTCGGTTAATATATATATATATATATATATACTTGTAGGAAAAGCGATGATTTATAATTTATAAGATATATTCCAGGTATGTCAACTATTTTTCAATTATGGCAGGTCATCTATGTATAGTAAAAGAGCACTCAATACTACACCTACATGTATGATAAATTATTTTTGTAAATCGATTCACTTCTTATTAGTAAAAGTCAATAGCTTAAATTCGTTACTCGACGACCGTACAATTTAGATAGAGACATGAATTGATTTAATATAATTTATTAAATATATTATTTAAAAAGCTATTAAAATACGACTTGTATTAAAACATTTGTCACTTTTTTTTTTTCCTTTTTTTTTTTTTTTTTTTTTTTTTTTGAAATATCAAAAAGTTCATATGTAATTATTATCAATATAAATATTTTATAAAATCCCAACGAAATCTATTTCCTTAACTTGGTTCGCTCATACCTTCAGCAATTATGAAATATCATTTACTCCTGCATTTGAGCTATATGATTATTGGACTAATTTCATGCTTTATTTAAATTTCAGATGTTAATCACGATGAGTAGCGCCTAGCCGCAACAAATAAACTGGATAGGCACGACGAATGACGCACCTTTCCCAACTAAGACTGCAACAGCTAATTCAAGAACGTTCCAGAAAATCCAAAAGCTGAGTCCAAATAAAATAACGGAAGGACGGCGAAAGAACGGAGGAGCTACTGCAGCTGACGTCGGCTGCGCTCGGGCGCAGGACGTACAGTAAAAAAAAGCGCCGGGCGACATCGGATCAGCTGCTACCTCGTATGCAAGGAGCCGAGGCGAGGAGGCCGGTGCAGAGGACTTGGCCAGGGCTACGGGGAGGCCACGTCAGGATCCACTGTTACCGCTCCTCCGAGTAGAGATCAATAACGAAGTCGACGGATTAAAACTCGCGCCGGTGAAATAATTTGTATAAAAAGAAAGGAGAAGGAGGAGGAGGAGGCGGAGGAGGAGGAGGTGGAGGAGGAGGGGAGGAAAGGAAGTCGACGACGACAACGACGGCGGTGACGACGACGGCGGCGACGACGACGACGACGACGACGACAACGACGACGACAATCACAACAACAGCGACGGGGACGTCGACGACGACGACGACGATAAAGACGATAAGAAGATCAAAAGTTAGGGGGGTAAAACGCGAGGGCACTTGAGGCCCCATGTCGTTGTGAGCCACAGAGGACTGCCTTGGCAGGCAGAGCCTCCCTGTATACGGGCATGGAGTATGGCAGTGGAGGGGGTGGCGGGGGCGGCGGCGGCGGCGGTGGTAGTAGTGGTCGTGTGGGTGTACAGCCACCGACTGCTGGCGCCAGGGGCATTGTTGCTGGGACGGATACAACTGACGCCGCGTGGCATAAACACGAGCAAATGATGATTATGGAGTCAAGGCATAAGCAGCAACGTAAGTACATCTTATCGGCATTATATGTCTTACCTGTCGCTTCACTTTTAGCATCACGAGATTACATTGCTTACTTTAATATTTTAATGTTGGATTTTCAACCGACAATAAATTGATATCCATATTTATAATTGTATTTCTATTACAAGAAAATTTTACTCATGATGAATAATGTCTATAATTAATAAATATTTAACTGCAAATAAGCTTACGTTTATTCTGCTTCGTATAGGTATAGTTCTATGTATCTAATTAACATGGTTGATGTACTAAAACTAAACACTTATAAATCGATCATCTAAACCAAATGCAAAAATTTAATCAAAGGTATAAAAAACATTTTATAATTTTTTTAGAAATTTACATGAAAAGGTCGTAGTTTTCTTAATATTTATTAGTTAAACATTTTCTTCCGCCTTTGTTATTATTAATTATTAAAAATTACAAATAGAAACCCAACGAAACTATAAAACTTGCAATAATATTTAAAATTTCCTTTTATCTTTTAAAGATATCGAAAACTTGTAATTCTTGATGACATTTCAACAATCTTCAAACCTTATGAAAAGTTTTATAAAAGAAGTTATAATTGATATATGGATGTACAAGAATCAAATGTCTAACATATAAATAAAGTAAAATTATAAAATATAAAATTATCTTCTATAAAAATCTTCTATTTATTTTAACTGTTTAAAAAAAGGTTTTTTTAACCCATACAATTTAGTATAAAAATTTACAATAAGAATAAAAATTTTATGTGCTAGTTTCTCTAAATATATACATAAATAATTAGAATTAAATAAATCATTTAAAATAAAAGGAAGGAGGGAAAGATATTTTTAAATCAACAATAATTAAATATATTTGAATTTTTTATAACTACTGTTTACAAATAAAATTGAATGTTAAAAAAAAACCTTTATAATTTTGAATTAATAAATTAGAAATTGGTAAAGTTACATTTACTTATCGCATAAATTTTAGAGATATGATGAATAGAAAAAATATAATGTATTGATAAGAAAATTGATGTGGAAAAAAAAAATGTAAAACAGAGATTAATGGATGCTAGAAACAAGCAGAACAAAGTAGCCGTAGTAAAAGAGTGAATTAGAGAGGGAGAAAGAGGGAGAAAGAGAGAGAGAGAGAGAGAGAGCGAGAGAATGAGAGCGAGAGTGAGAGTGAAAGAGAGTTTAAATACGCTGAGCGATGTATATTTTTGAACGCTGGTAAAAATTCGTTCTTCTATACTTAGCTGTCTATCGTCTCATGAAGAGACACAAATAGCAGTAAGATTCTACTTCTTATGTGATAAAAGACAATCGCATTTACGCATAACGAGTGTACAAGTGCAAATTTAAAGAAAAATTAAAATAGAAAGGATTGTTCCCATAATACCATTAAAATAAATAAAAAGTGAAATGTAGATTAAAATGAAATCGTTAGATTGCTAATGCTTTTCTAAACGGGCAAGTCATTTTTATATTTTTTATATTTACAATTAAAATACTATTGAATTATAATACATCAATAATAATAATAATAATAATAATAATAATAATAAAAAAAAAATGAAACAGCTTTGACTATTATTGTGCAAAAGTATTCATGGATTTTAATATTTAAAAAGATTTTAACGTAAAATAGGCATTAATAATTTAATAGAAAGTTTAATCGACTTGTATTATAAATTTTGGTAAAAATGATAAAATTAATTAATTTGTCTCTGTTAATCAATTATATTTTTTCATTATATAAAATACAAATAATTTTATAAATATTAATTAATGAAACAAAATGCTTATAAATGCTAATTATAATAATATTGATATATTATATTAATGGAAGTTATATAAATATATAAGTATACGTATCATATGATCATTAGCTGCATATTTTTAAATTATTAGATCATTAGTATGCATTTATAAGTGAATTTTCATCTTTTCGGCGACCCCCCCCCCCAATTCCGTTATTCTCATCGATACGCTCTTGTTGTTTCTTTTTAAAGTGAAGATTAAAAAAGAAAATGAAACTACTTGGATCACTGCCTGACCAGTCGCTCTTAGACAATTTGAAGACTGTCACATTCTCGCTATGCGCGGGTTCGTAAGCACGACCATGTCGTAGTGTATTTTTGACCTACGACATTCCATGAACAACTTGTACGTTGTCCACCCTGTTGATAGCTTCCTCCCTGCATAGAAAAGACGTTGACCCGTCGAACAATCCAATACTTTTATCTTTATGTCGTTCTTGATCAAACGAAAAGTTATAAACCTCGGTTACTTCTGTTTTTCCTTTCCTTCTCACTTGTTCTCATGGATTTTGAGAATCAAATAAGCGTATTTTTATATTTACCTAACGAGGACGCTAATATTTCATTGAATAGCATTTATACGCAATATCTATTGATATTGCTAAAAATAGGGTAACAAAATTAGCAATAGCATAATCTATATGTAAAAATCTGTAATATTATATAGTTACAGATGTCACAAACCTTTTACCGCAATTTTTTCTACATAAAATTTTTGTGTCTAAAAATACAACATTGTCAAAGTCTAATGTTTAATAGGGAAATATGTACTTTTAAGCTATTAGGAAGTAAATATTCTCTAATTACATAATCCTATTAATAAGACTTTTTTTGTTTATTGGAAAAAAGATATTGTTAAATGCCAATAGATCTTAGTATTTTCTTCGTGATGATGAAAAGGTAATTTGTGTTTATTCTTTAATGAATATTATTTCAAAACCACTGTTATTCGTTCTTTTAATAAGTAAATAATAAAGTTCTAGTAAAGTAAATACTAAATAATAAAATTCATTTTATAGTTTTATATCGATGATGGTTTAAATAACGAAATTATAAGAGAAAATATAAGTATTTAGAAGTCAGTGTGTAAATTCTGTGCTACACAAATACGCCGCAAGTTACATTGCTTAAGAAACATTCTAATTCCAAATACATTACATAATATTTATTCAGTTGTATTTTCATTCGAATATATTTAATTTGTTTAATTATTAATGAAATTAATTTTAATTAGATTTAATTATTCCATATAAAGAAAAAAGTATTCGCTAACATTAAAATACCAATCTTCATTGTATTACCAGTGATGCTATTACATCATTTCACCTTCTCTCCATGAAGAATCACTCAATCTGCCATAGTTCTAGATAAAAGGATTAGAAGGTTTTTGTTTAATTCTGGTACGGTGTGGTTTTAATGCCTTTTCAAATGTCTTTGCAGCAGTTTATTACGACTCAACATCATTTTCTTTCAACTCTCATTCGACTTGCGCTACTATATACATACATATATTTGCGATTTTCTAATCTATCAATTTTATCCATCAATTAATATTCAAATTAACCGAATTGTTGCTTATATTCTTCTTAATTTCCATTAATTTTTAATTTTCTCCACATTACATTTCCCGATAGTCTTTCTTAGCAAGAAGAGATGGTATATAGTAGATTCCATTATAGTTTAGATAGTAAGAATTAGATTACTGAAATCTTATTGCCTGTGTAATATACAAATACTATGGGATATCAACATTCAATTTAATCATTTTTAATTTATTGGTTACATCTCTCGTATAATGTCGCATAATGTGTATTGAAATATAAGATTTGAATATTGATGTGCTGAAAGAGATTTATTAAAAAATTAAAATCTACTATAACTTATACAAAATCAAATATATGCTTTTTGTAATAATAAATATTATCTTGTTTAATTTATACAATAAAGATAAGCAAAATTGAATATTACTGATATTTTTATGTTGACAATTATTCGATTGTGTATCCTCAAAAAAAAAAAAAAAAAAACAGCTCGAGTTCAATTTATAAAGTTTTGACAATAATATATTTTTTAACATAATCATAAGAATAAGGCATTTCTAATAGAATATACGAAAATGATATTTGCTGATAATATACATTCAACTAATGAAAATAATAAATAAAACTTTTGTTGTATATTGTCCTTGTCCTGATGTACGAATTCATAATCGTAATAAATGAAAATATGAATGAAATTTCAAAATATCTACATAATTGCATCGCTAGATGAATAAATTAATGAATTATCACACATATTAAAATATAAATACATGTATTCTCTATACACGAGCACATTATATATGCGTATCTTGGACATTTGGTTAGCAATGCATTCATCGGCTGTAGAAACGTGAAAAAATAAGAAAATAATTTTAAGTACAATGACAACGGCTAATCAAAACAGTCACATGTGTTCACCACAATGAATGATCAAAGCTCTTTCCGTCTTTTATTTCACTCATTTCATCTATTATGTTCTTCCGTATTTTCTCTACAATGTTTCTCGTGCAATGTTCTTGGAAATCTTGGCAGTACAATTATATCTATCAATTACCTTATTACGAATCCTGTATGTTATATTATAGTTTCCTATTACTAGTCCATTGATTTATACATTACTGTGTTCAAAATAGTAAATCCACATTATATATATATATATATATATATATATATATATATATATATATACACACATATGTATATAGTCAATACTGTATATAACCAATAATAAAGTTATTTACGACCTATAAAATTTTTGTATCGACATATCAATAACATGATTTATATTAATAAATAAAAACACAAAATATGAAAATAAGAAATAAACTAAAAAATATTAAAATAATAAAATTCTTTCAAATTTTATCTATCAGAATTTACAAAAGGATGAAAATTATTTTATATCAAAGATACTATATTATTAATTTTATTAATAAATACATCCGATACAGTATATAATTAAAATTTCAATCACAAAAATTGGGCTTCCAATTGCATTCAATACAACTATAATCATACCTAAGTTTTGACATACTTATTGATATGGGGGAGATACTTATTTATTTAATACAAGGATTAAAGAATGTTACTTTAGTTTTCTTGGAAAAATATAAAATTTCATGTTAAAAGTAACGACG